GCCCCGCGGACGTCCCCGCGGGCACCAGAGGCCACCTGCTTCTAAGTGCCTGGCCCTGGGGCACCAGTCAGCAGCCGGGGCCTGGTGAAGGGGCGGGTGGCGGCCGCCTGGCGCATGTGGGGCCGCCGCCCGTGGGCACTGCGGTCCTGCTCTGACCGCCTGCTGCTCGCTCGGGCCCCTGGACGGGGGCTGCCTTGACCAGGTTGCCTCTGGCCCCAGAGGTCGGCCGGAGCTGGGTACTCCCCCCCCCCCCCGCCAACCCTCTAAAGCCAAACCACACCCTCGGGCCCAAAGGCACCAGGGGGTCGTTGTCCGTGGGCAGATGTCCATGGCTGGGGGAGCCTGGACCCGGAACCTGGCTGTCCCCGCAGCCAGACCAGCCCTGCCCCGCTCCGCGCTGTGGCGATAGCATGTGCTGCCCCCGAGGCGGTCACGCCGGGTGGACAGGAGGGTGCAGGGCGGGAGGAGATGTGGAGCTCAAAACACTGGTGATCAGGATGCTCATAGGACTCTGAGTACAGCACCAACGAAAGGAAGAAACGAAGGTCACACTAAATGAGATAAAAATCTACAGGGACCCGTCCGTGGAGAGGAGGCAGCCAGGATTCGAACCAATGGTTTGGAACACGGGAGGAAAAAGCATTCAATCCGAACACAACCTAGTGAGTGGGCCTGGACCCAGCTGCAGGGCAGACAGGGAGCAGTCCAGTGGGGCCAGGGGCGGGGGGGGCGGCGCATGGGCACCGGATCACAGTCCCTCCCGAGGCAGAGCCACGACAGCAGCCGCGGGCCAGAGACGGACGCCCGCCCAGGGGGCGGCTGCGGGTCGGCCAAAGCCAGAGGGAGGAGGGCGTCAGCAGGGATCCCTTCCTGGGGGCAAGGCGGCCACCCTGCTGGAGACTGAGAGCAAGCCTGGGCCGCGGGGGTAGGGAGCAGCCCCCAAACGGCTGGCTTAGGGGCTGGCCGGGGGGCTACCAAAAAAGGCGGCGTTTCAAATCCCACACGAGGGAACTGCCTTGAATTCGGAAGCCTAAATTTTCTATCAAGTAACAGGAGACGCTGAGAGCTATGTTACTGTCAACCACTGGCTCGCATCCCTGACGTGACTGGGTGACAACTCGCGGGGCCGGCCGCCTGCGCAGGGGCCGCCACGACTCGGGCCTGCGCTGCTGGCCTGGCCCTGCTGCCCCTGTGGCCCCAGAAACCACGCCGCCCGCCCCCCGTGGCCCCGACCAGCCCTGGAGTGGCCGCGGTGGGCGGGTGGGTGTGGGGCTGTGGCGGACGGGGGTGGGGCAGGAGCGCTGCGCTCGGGCCCTTCCACTTCCAGGCGCGGACACTAAGGGAGAGGCCTGACCTGCCGCTGCAATTGTTTACTGGGGGCACCTGGGAGGGCAGCTGAGAAACTTCTTAACGGGAGCCACACTTACCTGTTATTTCAAAGGTAAGCACCAGGTGGCAGCAGTGAGTAACGTGCTACCGTGACAGACTCGTACACTGGGCGGTTTTTCCTGGTTGCACACTGTATGGTGTCAGAGAAGGGCTTTTACCAATGATGCAGCCTAGACGGCAGAGAAGAAGCGCGTTTCCTGCTGAACTTTACCGTGGCGTTACTTACAATACGCACGCTAGATGGGAACAGAAAAGGGCTTTTCTCCATGACCCTCACGAGTATTATTCCAAAGGTCAACACTAGGTGGCAGCAGAGAAGCGCTTTTCGGTGAGACCCAGGCAGGTGCTCCCCGCCAGGTGCACGCACACTAGGTCCCAGCGGAGATTCACCTTTCACGACGTGCACTCAAGTGTTATTCACGGGGCGCACACTCGGCGGCAGCACACAGCTGACTCGTCGCTCCATCACCCCCTAGCTGGGCTTCATGCGATTTCAGGCAAATCCAGGGAAACTCGGTCTCCTCCTCTGCCAGACGGGGCAACCGCGCCCCAGGGTGGCGGCTGTGAGGATCCCACGAGGTACGCGCAGCCCCCGCCCAGCCTGTGGTCGGCCGCGCTCTCCCTCCCTCTTCCCTTCTGTGTCCTCCCTTTATCTTCTAAGGGCTGGACAAACTGAGAATTTAGAAAATAGCCTTTTAGTAGAATGAGCTCTCCTGCTGGCGTTCCAACAGCCAGGCTCCCTGGGCCTGGCCCCCCAGCTCAGGCCGCGCCTCCTCGCACCGGTCCCCTCGCTGCTCCCTCTGCTCCCTGTCCCCGTCTCCTCCAATCTGACCTCCACACCGTGACCCCGCTGACCTTTCAAAAGTGGGGCTCTAATCCTGTCACTTCCCGGGCATGAGACCTGCCAGCCTAGAGAATCGAGCCTCCACCATCGGCACAGGCGGAGACTCTGGATCAGGCCCCGCTCTCTTCTCCTGGTTTTATTTCAGGCCCCAGCACCCCGTTCTGCCACCAGGGACCCCGGAAGCTGACGTCAGCCTCCCTGGCTGGCGATCAGTCAGGGCTTCAACACACAGAGGTGCCGGCACTGAGGCAGACGTGGGAAACTGAATTACATATAGATAAAAGTTAAAAATATGTATTGATATGTTCATTAATTATAACAATTCTGTTCAAAAAATAGAAATTAAGAGTCAAATAAGAAAAATCTATTGCCTCAAACTGAAAAACTAGAGAAATGGGTCATGTCCTAGTAAAAATACACTTTATTCACACGGTCCTCGTTCTCTCCGTTTTGTGTGTTGTCTCCATTCTGTTCGCATTTTCTCTGTGTTCTCTGTCCCTTCCTCGTTCCCTGAGTTTTCTGCATTCTCTGTTCTCTCATCTCCTTTCTCTCCGTTTACTGCATTCTCTCTATTTTGTCCAGTTAGGACCCTGGCACCTTTGCACACCACGTACTGGGATGGGACTATGCTTTCGTTACAGTGTTTGCCAAAATAAGGACCCGAAAATTGTAGAACAGATGATTCAGTGTGATTGTGACGTGCAAGACCAGTGACTCGCCCGTCGTGGGACAAGCCGGGACTGGCCCAGAACCCCGTGACGTCGCACAGGGGCCGGGATTCTGAGATAACTGCCACTGCCCCGAGCCCAGATGTGCTTCTGGAGAGCAGGTGAACACCGGAGCTCACGCGGGAGACACGCGACCTCACGCGCGGGCCTCCCGTCCTCCACGAGGAGACCGGAGCGCCGGACCGGGTGCAGCGCCTCGGGGCCGGGGGCCGGGGCCACACGCAGACGCAGCAGGCGCCCCACGGAGACCCGCTGGGCTGAGGCAGCTGCTCCCCCCGGGGAGGCCGCGGGGTCGGGCACGTCTCACGGCCCCTCACGGAACAGTCACTGAAAATGCTGGTCCGCCACCAGGGCACGAGTTGATTTTAAAATTTAACAAACATTTTTAAATGCAGTGCAAAAGAATGTCTTTGTAAAGAACATGAAAATAACCCGTCACATTCTTCATTGTACAGACTGACTTCTGTGCAACGCAGCCATTTAATAAAGAGCTGGTTAGTATCGGCCACGTCTCAGCTGTGAGCAGGTGACAACTGGAAATACGACTCTAGACCCCGACACACGTTTTATTTACATGCTCGATCGTGGATTTAACCGTCTCGCTAGATGCAGCCGAAGATACAAATGAGTCTCCAGCTTATTTCTGGATCACAGTCAGGCGGACGGGGTAGGAAAGGAAGAGACAGCTCAGACCACCGGGCTTTATTCCTAGAGACCTGGGTCCTCCATACACAAGGGACGTCTGGCTGGAATTACGACAAAGTGGGTGAAAATGAAAGAGCAACTTAAACTCATTTCACCAGGAAACCCCACCCAGGGGCTTCCCACTTGGAGAGCAAGCGAGGCAGGCGTCTTCAGGGCAGGTGTGCGTCGGGCGCAGGGCGGTGTCCACCGGCATCAAGGAGCCAGGTGCGGGGTGCGGGGGGGAGTGGGGCCGGTCTCTCAGGCCTGCAGTGAGGCCCGAGACGTCAGAGACCAAACCGCTGCCGGGGGCGGACCCCGCAGGCCGGGCTCCTTCTGCGGCTCTGGGGACAGAGCCAGGGTGCCTGCATCTCCCAGGGCCGGGGGCGGCCGTGGTGAAGGTGCGGGCGCCTCCCCGCCCTCCCCGCGGGCCGCGTCTGAGCCGCAGGACCGCGGCCTCCTGCCCGCAGGGCTCTTCCGACCCGGTGAGGCCGGGGGGCCTGCTGCTCCCGCCCAGGAGGTGCCTGGGGGCATCGCTGAGAATAAAACACTCACTTCCGAGAAGAGGGAGCCTTTCGCACACTGTTGGCAGGACCGTGAATTGGTGCAGCCTGTGGGGCACGCAGTACGGAGGTTCCTCAAAAATCAAAACTCCATCTCCCGTGTGACCCAGCAATTCCTCTCCTGCTTGCCCGGGGCAACGGGGTCAGCACCGCAAACGCCGGGCAGGCCCTCCAGTTCCTGTCAGCGTCGGTCACAGTGGCCAAGACACGGAAACAGCCCACGTGCCCGTCAGGGGATGGGGGACGTGGCACACACGTTCCACAGAACACTATTCAGCCATGATAAGGACACCCTTCCGCTGGGGACGTGGATAAACCCTGAGTGAATGAAATAAGCCAGACTCCAAATGACAGATACTGCACTTTTATGTGGAGTCGTCAACAGTTGACAAAGAGGCAGAGTAGAACCGGGGTTGCCCGGGTCCGGAGGACGGGGAACGGGGAGAGGCTGGTCCAGGGGTGAAGTTTTAGTTCTACCAGGCGAGTAAATACGGGAGATCTAGGGTGAAAACCCCGTGACTGTAGTTAACACGACTTTTTAGACGCCTGAAAGTTGCTAGGAGGGGACATCATACGTGGCAGCCTTGCTGGGACCTCTGAGCGTCGCCAGGGAAACCCCGTCTGAGCTGTTTCACCTGAACAGTAAAGACGGACCGAGAGGCCAGGCAGCAGGGACCGTCCGCGTGCTCGGCCGCAGCTCTGAGAGCGAAGTCTGCGGACTCGGGAGGGACGCGCTGCCCCACCTCTTCCCCGCCCCTCCCCCACATCCCTGTCCTTTGCAGGCTAGAGCCGGACGCAGAACAGAGCGCGCTGTTATAGGTACCTTAGAGGTACTTATACACAACCTTTGAGGGCACAGTTTGGAGGTGCACACGCACCGGGCACTTGTAGAAGTGGGACAGCAGGGCCTCGCTGTAGCCCACGAGGAAGTAGAGCTTGTGCGCGGGCAGCTTCCTCAGGACCAGGGCGCAGACCTCCAGCTGGTTGGCGCGGCGCTTCAGGACGGGCTGGTCGGCCAGGCAGCCGGGGAAGGTGCCCAGCATGAACTTGCGAAGAAACACGTCCTCCACCGTGCGCTCCGCGGCGTGGTCCTCCCCGTCCAGGTTACCTGAGCAGAGAAGGCACCGTGGCGTCGGCCCAAGATGCCGAGGCGACCCCCGAGGCAGCACCGGCACCCCGCCCCGCCCCGCCCCGCCCCGCCCTGCCTCTTCTGCACGTGGAATTCGAACAGCACTTCAGAGTTCGAAGCACATCATTCCATCAAACCCCGAAACCAGGCACTGCCGCTCTCCTCGTCTCACAGAAGGAAAGCGGGGGCCTCGCCCAGGCCGCAGAACTCGGGTGGCCGCTCCCCGCTCCCTTCCCGCTCCCCGCGCCCTCGTGCACCGGCCGCCCTGCAGGTGGGAGGCCAGGCTGCCGGCCCCTCTGAGGTTTGGGACATGAGCTCTCTCGCCCGCCAGGGCCGTGGCCTCGCCAGTGACCTCAGTGGGGACCCCGCACCCCTGCACCTGTTTCTGCTGAGCCTCCCCACCCACCTCCACACCTCAGACACAGACCCCAGGAAGGGCGAAAGGACAATAATTTCTTCAAATGTCTCTACACAGGTGCCCCGCAAACATCCAAGCTGAAAGCCCTCACGCTGAACACAATGCACTCGATTGTCATCAGTTTACGTTCTGTTTCCTGAATGTCACTGTGAACAACGAATTGGCAAAGCCTCAGCCACAGCGCCTGGGGCGAGGCCGCGTCAGCCTCTCCGAGCCTCGGTCCCGTCATCTTTGTCAGCGGACGAACACGCAGCCTTGTCCTCTGTGTTTCCACTTCGAGGCGCCTCGCCTGTCACTCGGGCCGGAACGCCGCGGTCTCCCCGCGGCCCGGACTCGCCCGAGGGAAGCCCGTCCCAGCCGCCTTCCGCTCAGGGACCTAGAACGGCACGTGCGCCTCACCGGCCATTTTAAGGCAGCGGAGTCACCGACAAAACTGCAAAGACGCGGCACTAATAAATCTCGGAAAGGACACACATTTATTGCGGGAATCCTGAAACAAGAGGGCAGAGCTACGGTGGGGAACAGACAGCGCAATATGCAGAGGATGTTTCGCGGACTGCACACCCGAGACCTGTGTAATTTCATTAATCAATGTCACCCCAATATGTCAACTTAACATTTTTAAAGAATAAAGTTTAAAAAAAAGAAGAAGAAGAAGAAGTCAGAGCCCTATTCCACCGCCGCTGGGAAGGCGCCGTGTCTGAGCCTGACCGAGAAAGTGCCCAGAGCGGCACATTCGCGCGCACAAAGAAAACAGAAGAATCCCCGCTTGCGCGGGAACCGCAGCGCCCGCAGCGCACGGTCGCGGCGCCCCAGCCGCTTCGCTTCCGCGGGCTCGGAGCCGCTCGGCCCCGCTGTCGGTCACAGGGCACGGCCAGCAAGGCAAAGGCTGCTCCCGCCTCGAGTCAGCGCGTCGTTTCCGAGGAGGCTGAACCCCGCTCCCCGCGGAAAGAGCCAGTTCAGGATCCTCCAGACCCAGGTCGCCGCTCCCGACCTGCCTCTGCCTGGTCACTTCTCCTCTGCGCGTGTGCACCTGACTTCGGACTCGGGCACCGACTACTGATGGGGACGAGCCTCGGACACCGGCTCCTGTCGTGTCTGTGTCGGAGAGTCACAGCCGAGACCCTCCGGGGCGGCCCGCGGTCCCCTCACCTGTGTGCAGCGACAGCCAGCCCTTGCGGTGGGCGATGTGGTGAGGCGCGTGCGCCTCCTCGTAGGTCACCGGCTTGTCCCCTTTGCCCACTCGGACCCGGGCCGCCCGATTCTAGGAGCAAAGAGCGGCCGTGAGTCCGCGCGCCGGACCCAGGCTGCGACCTGGGCCCCCGTCCCCTCCGCCCCTCGGGCCCACCCCCGGCCCCTCGCCCCTCGCCCCTCGCCCCCGGACCGCTCACCTTGGCGCACGCGGCGGAGAGGTGCAGGGCGCGCCAGGCACCCGGCAGCGCGCGGCCCCAGGAAAGCACCTGTGTGTGGACGGGGGGGACCGTGAGACAGAAACCGGGGCACCCCCGACCCGCCCGGCCCGCCGCCCGCGCCGCCCACTCACCCGCGGCCCGAGCCCCCGGCCGCACACGGAGGCCGCCATCTTGAGCGGAGCGCCGCCCGTGACGCATCGGCGCGCCGCGGGGCAAAGGTCAGCGCCGGGAGGCCGCGCCGCGGACGAGCCCAAACCGAGGCCGGCGCGGGGGTGCGCGTGGCCCGGCTGGGGGCGGGGCAGGGGGCGGGGCCTGTCGGCCGGGACGCTCTCCTGGCGGCGCCGCTGCTGCCTGTTGGCCTCGTGGTTCCGGTTCTGAGGCCGAAGGAAGCGGAGCGTGAGGCTCCGCCCGGGACTCACACCGGCGACCTGAGGACGCCGGCGGGGCCCCGCGCCTCCCCTCGGGGCGTCTTCTCAGGTTCTACGAATGAGGCTGCTTGAGTTGTCTCCACGTTACTATTTATTATCATGATGATGATGATGATGATGATGTGGATTGTATTTACTCCATTAAAGTCCTCACGATACACAGAAACAAGGCCACAGAAACCGTCTAGCAGATGCCATGTTTGTAAAAAAAGAATCGTATATTTATGTACACACAATTAGAAATATAGAAGTATTTCAAAAGTTAGCGATTTATCCTTGCAAAGTACAATCATGTGTAATTTCTTGTGGTTTATCTGTATTTTCTATAATGAACATATATTTCTGAAAACTGGCTTTTTAAACCATTTTAATTAATTTTTTTAATTTTTCAATTACAGTTTACTTTCAGTAGTACTTTCAAATACTGTTATTTAAAACAAAGAAACTCCTGGATTTAGCCACAAGTGAAGAAAAAATGCGTTTCGGTTACAGCGCGGCCCAGTCGCCGTGGCTGGTGGCTCCGCGGACTGAGCGCCGGGCTGTGAACTGCAGGTCGAGGGGCAGGTTCCCAGTCCGGGCGCCTGCCTGGCCTTCGGGGCAGCTCATGGATGTGTCTCTTGCACATCGATGATTCTCTCCCTCTCTTTCTCCCTCCCTTCCTCTCTCTCTATATAAATGAATGAATGAATAATGAATAAATAAATAAATAAAAGTAAAAACAATAAAAATAAAAACCTGACCGGGTCCTTCAGGGCCGAGGGCCAGGCTCCCCGGGGCCGGGGCCGCGTCGCAGGGCCCGAGGTGCTCGGGCCGCGGCACCACCACTGTAGCTGCTCCCCGGTCGTTCCTGACGTCACAGGGGGAAGCGGCAATGCTGGTGTCTTCTCTCAGGACTCAACACAGTACCGGGCTCTGGAGGTTCTGGAGGCCCGCCCTGGCGGAACAATCCACACGTCGCCCCAGGTCCGTTGTCTGTAAAATGGGTTTGTTGATAACACTACCTCACAGAGGCGCCAGATAAATAGCTGTCATTGCTTCTGTTTAGCTAAATCGTGTGACATTGCCACCATTTGGCTGGGCTTGGTTTGGTTTTGGTTTTGGCCTACACACACCCCCACCCCCGGGCCCCGTGCTCCCCCCATGTGACTGTGGTTCCCAGGACAGGGGACAAGGCCTCCCTCGGTGTGGAGCGGCAGAGGGGCACAGGCGGAGGGTGCGGTGCTGGAGGTCGTGCTGGGGAGAGGGAACGGGGCCAAGATCCCCGTCTCTGGGCTTCATTCAGATGTGCATTCTCCATGGTCAAGATTCCTTTGACCACTTGAAGCTGGGTCCTCAAAAAGTAACTGTTGATACAACAGTGTTTTTCATGCCCACATCACTATGGACATTTTATTTCCAGTTTTTTAAACTGTAGCCTCCCATCGTTGTGCATGTTGGATAAGGGGGCAGAATGGGAATGAAATGTTCTCCAATCACAGTAATTTCCAAATGAAAAACTTTCAACTCTTCCAGCTTCACCTGTGACAGCCACAGCTGCTCATCCCTCAGAGGCTTTATTTCTGGGGCCACTTCTCCCAAATCTGACTGTCTGAAACAGTTTCGGAAGAACGTTATAGTGAAAATAATGAAACACCATCTTCTCCTTTCAAATTGGCTGCATATCAAAATGTCACTGGGAGCCTTTCAAAACTGCAAATCCTGATCGCACCCCAGAGCCTCGAAGCCAGAACCTCAGAAGTTCTGAGTCCGGGCCTGGACGTCCCTGCTTCTGAAGGTGCCGTGGTGGTTCTGGTGAGCAGCCCCACGGAGAAAATGCCAACGTTCTCAGAAACTACCAGCCAGAGCACAGACCCAGTCACTCAGAAAGACATAAAAATATACATACCCTCGGCCCAGTAATTCCACTTCTTCCCTATAGAAATAATTAAGATCTAGTTTCGAAGATGTTGATGCTGGCTTTATATATCACAGAAAAAAAATTGGACATATTTTAAAATCAAAGTCCAGTAACAGGGAATTCTGGTACAGTCTTATTCTACAACCATTATACAATATTCTATGGGTCTCATTTTGTAAACAAAAGCGTGTTGGGTAAGAGGTCGTGGGATGGTCTTAGTGGGGAAGTCAGGCTAGAGTAGTGTGTAGTGTGATGACGATTTGATAAAACTGAATGTGTTTATTTGCACTTAAACACAGGGAAGCCAGAGGGCACTCACCAAAAGTGGGCAGTGTGAACAGGGAGGGATGGCCCTGAGTTCTTCTATGCAGGTTTGATAAGTACCTATAGTCCACTTCAGAATCCACTACTTTAGGTGTGGTCCCTCCAGGGTTGGCCCCCATCAAGCCTCCAGAAACCGCAGCCCCTCTGTAGATCAATTATCTTCCCTAAGATGTTATTCCAAAGATGCACATTAGATGGCAGCGGAGATGTGCTTTTCCTGTTGAATTTCACTGTGTTGTTTCTTATAATATGCACATCAGACACAACAAAATAGGGCTTTTTTTATGACCTGATTTTTGGTATTTTTCCCAAGGTGAACAATAGATGGCAGCAGAGAGTCGCTTTTTCCAATGACACCCAGCTAAGTGTTATTCACTAAATGCCCACTGGATAACAGCAAAGAATAAATTTTGATTCTGACATGCACTCATGTTATTCACTGGTTGCACACTAGGTGGCAGCAAAGTAGTGTGTGTCCTGGTGACTGCCTCTCAGATGTTATTCCCAATTTGTATTTTAGGTTATAGCAGAGCTATTTCTCTTGAACTGAACGCAGTTGTTAGTTTCAGTGTGCACACTAGACGGCAGCAGATAACTTTTTATGATGGCACATGCTCCGTTGTTATTCACTAGTTAACACTTAAGATGGAAGCAGAGAATAGCTTTTCTCAGGGTTCTTCACTCAGGTGTTATTCTTCTTTAAAATTTCTTCTATTTATTGATTTCTAGAGAGAGAGAGAGATAAACATCGATTTGTTTTTCCCCACTTATTGATGCACTCATTGGTTGATGTTTGTATGTGCCCTGATGGGGGACTGAACCTGTGGCCTTGGCATATCCAGATGACATTCTAACCAACTGAGCTAGTGCCCAGGGCCTCAGGTGTTACTTTTTTTTTAACATTTTTATTTGTATTTCTTATTTATTTCTTTAAAAGATTGTATTTATTTTTAAAGAGCTGAAGGGAGGGAGAAAGAGAGAGAAACATCCATGTGTGGTTGCTCCTCATGCGCCCCCTACTAGGGACCTGGTCTGCAACCCAGGCATGTGACTTAGATTGGGGATCGAACCAGCAACCGTTTGGTTCACAGGTGGGCACTCAATCCACTGAGCCACACCAGCCAGGGCCTTCTTCTTTTTTTTTTTTTTTAATATTTTTTAAATATTTTATTTACTCATTCTTAGTGAGACAGGAAGAAAAGGAGAAAGTGAGGGAAACCTCGATCAGTTGCCTGGCCCACAACCCAGGCATGTGCTGAGACCAGGAATTGAACCAGGGACCTTTTGGTTTGCTGGACGATGCCTAAACCACTGAGACAAACCAATCAGGTCAGAGCCTCGGGTGTTATTTCAAAGTAGCCTGCAAGATTGCAGCTGAGAAACACTTTTCCTGCGGACCCCCACTCTGATGTTATTTTCCAAATGCACACTAGATGGCAGCAGGGAATAACATTTTATGAAAACATACATTCAGTTGTTACTAGTCGCACCAGATATGGCAGCCAGAAGAGCTTTTCCTCGTAACTACACACAGGTGTTATTCGCAAGACAAACACTAGATGGCAGCAGAATATAACATTTTATAATGGCACCCACCGGTGTTATTCACTAGTTAAACACTGTATGGCAGCAGAGAAAACCTTTTCCTGGTAACCTCTTAGGTGGTGTTCTCAAGATGCACAGGAGAGAGCAGAGCTTTTCCTGGTGGCCTCCACTCCACTTTTATTCCCAAGGTGCACACTAACAGCAGAAAAGAGCGTTTCCACTCAGGTGCTATTTGCAAGACGCACATGAGATAACAGCAGAGAATAGTTTTTTCCCAGTCACATCGACTGCAGTATTAGTCACAAAATGCCCACGAGGTGGCAGCAAAGACCACATTTTCGAGGCTGAAGGGCTCTGCCTATTCCGCATTAATTAGAGAAGGAAGGGGCGGGAGGAAGACAGAAAAAGAGAATCCAGACTTGGTAATAAGTTCACTTTGATATCATTCCTATTTTAAGCCCTTCACATGCCTCATGTTACCTATTGCTCCCATTTGCTAGATGAGGCAGGAATATCTGTCAACTGCATTTTACTGGTATTTAAACTGAAGATTGATTTTAACATAGTTTCTAGTCCAAAACCCAGGCCTAAATGGGCCAAGATGGGCCATAAGACCATGCACACACAGTATCCTGGACAAACAGAGGAATCCCATAGTTCTTGCAGGTTTGAGCTGAATCTTGGCCATCCTACCTGGAGAAACCCTGCACAGTCTAAACTGCCACGCGCTCACCCCTGCTGGCGTTGTGGGGGACCAGGGCAGGCAGCTGGATGGGGGAGGTGGGGAGGGAGGAGGTGGTTTGGCCCTTCGCAGGAGCACAACCAGCACCAGATCCCTGTCACAGCGGCTCCCCCACGTCTACTCCCTGTCTACTCGCCCTGCCGTTTAAAATCTGTTCTTCCACCCAGAGCGCCGCTCCGCTTCCGCCCACGCTCACTTCCTCCCAGGCCTCACCTGGCCCGCGCTTCCGAGAGGCTCCGAGGGAGTCCGGGCGGCAG